CTTCTGCTTGCGCTTTAGGTTCCGTTTTGTCTTGCTGTGCGCTCTCCTTCGAGCGTATCGCTGTGTGTTTTTGTGTGCATCTACATCCGATTGCTTAGGGCCCGCGGGATAACCTCATGAAGCGATTAAGGATCCCCCCGGGGTTATCATTAGCACCGCCCCGTAATTAAATAATTATTCTGGGGGGTTTTCGCCGAACGATATAATTAGCACCGCGCACTTGAAAGGAAAGTAAATAATTCCTGCGTCCCGCCTCGGACGGCATCCCAATTGGACTTGTAATCAGAATAAGAATACGAATGAAAATACGAATAAGAACAACAATAAGAATAAGGCGAGTGTCACAGGTACGGCTGACACCGTAACTGTTACTGCTACCGTGATGACGATGAAACCTGGTGGCGTGATGCTACTGTTACTGCTACCGTGATGCTACTGTTACCGTGATGCTAAGCGATTTGTGAGGGTGCTCAGGCGATTTGGACAACTCTGTTAAGCAATGTGAGGATGTCTCAAGCGATTTGGCTAATTCTAAGAAGAAATACGAGGATGTCTCAGGCGATTTGTGCCATTTTACTAAGATGTGTGAGGATGTTTCAAGCAATTTCTTCTTCTTCCTTCTCTACTCTTTGTTCTGATCCGCTTGTTTTTTTCCGATGAGGTTTCTATTGCAAATCCGTTAGAGAAGTGCGTTTTTTTCGGCCGTCGTAGGGGGTGGTCCACCCGAGGGTATCGCCCCCACCCCGCACCGCGGCGTTATCTTAGCACCCGGCCAACAAAAAAAGATCCGTGTGACAGCCAGATCGTGCTCGTCGTCGTCGAAGATACGAAGATACGAACGAAGATAAGAAGAACAAGACGCAGAAAAGAACAACTAATACGACGAATGAGAAGCAGAATGCGACTGTTTGTAAGAATACGGATAATAAACATCGTTTTCCTCATGATCCTCATGGAATCGAGGTACTCCGAACAAAGCAGCGACCCTCGCAGACTACGAATGAGGATACGACTAAAACGAACGAAGATACGAACGAAGACTAAGAAGAAATGTGAGGATGTCTCAGGGGATTTGGCCAATTCAATTAAGACATGTGAGGATGTCTCCAGCGATGTGGCCAATTCTACTAAGAAATGTGAGGGTGCTCAGGCGATTTGGACAACTCTGTTAAACAATGTGAGGATGTCTCAAGCGATTTCGCTAATTCTAAGAAGAAATGCGAGGATGTCTCAGGCGATTTGTGCCATGTTTCTAAGATGTGTGAGGATGTTTCAAGCGATGTCCTCCTCTTCCTTCTCTACTCTTTGTTCTGATCCGCTTGTTTTTTTTCCGATGAGGTTTCTATTGCAAATCCGTTAGAGAAATGTTTTTTTTTCGGCCGTCGTAGGGGGTGGTCCACCCGAGGGTATCGCCCCCACCCCGCGCCGTGGCGTTATCTTAGCACCCGGCCAACAAAATATCCGTGCGACAGCCAGGTTGTGCTCGTCGTCGCCGTAATCGTCGGAAGACACCAATGGTAGATAGTTACTCCTGACAACCATGACATGGCTGAGAGGTCCAAGGAACAACTGATGTTTCAGGCGATTTGTCAAATGTTACTAAGAAATGCGAGGATGTCTCAGGCGAGTTTGCCAATTCTACTAAGAAATGCGAAGATGTCTTAGGCGACGTGGCCAACTCTACAAAAAAAATAAAGCGCCACTGCTTCTTTCTGAGTACCTGGACTCCTGCCAGTACCTGGACTGCTGCCTCCGAAGGCCTCTGAGAATAAAAGCTCCCTGGCCCCTGAGAGGCCCTGGACCCCGATGGGGGAGGAGGTCAGGCGGATCGGCCGAAGGCCTCTGAGAATAAGAGCTCCCTGGGCCCTGAGAGGCCCTGGCCACTGAGGGAAGGCGAGGGGCCTTTGGCTGAAGGCATCTCCAGGGCCCTGCTATGAGAACCCCTTGCGATACGTCTTGGACCGTCTTGGATTCTTCTGGAACCTCTCGGCCATCTTGGATTATTCTGAGGCTCCCTGGGCCGCGCAGGAGTCGTGAGGCTCCCTTAGTAGAAGTAAGAGTTGGAGTAGGAGTAGGAGGAGAGGGAGGAGGAGTTGGAGTAAGAGTAGGAGTATAGGAGTAGGAGTAGGAGTAGGAGTAGGAGTAGGAGTAGGAATGCGAATAGGAGTACGAGTACGAGTAGACGAGTAGGCCAATGTTCTTAAGAATTGCGAGGATGTCTCAGGCGATTTGGCAAATGCTTATAAAACTGCGAGGATGTCTCAGGCGATGTGGCCAATTCTATTAATAAATGTGAGGATGTCTGAAGCGATTTGGCCAATTCTATTAAGAAATGTGAGGATGTCTCAGGCGATTTGGCTAGTTGATTCTATTCAGACATGTAAGGATGTCTCAGGCGATTTGGCCAATTCTACAAAGAAATGTGAGGATGGCTCAGGCGAGTTGGCCAATTCTATTTAGAAATATGAGGATGTCTCATGCCATTTGGCTAATTCGATCAAGACATGTGAGGCTGTCTCAGGCGATTTGGCAAATTCTATTCAGAAATATGAGAATGTCGGATGTAAGTTTGCCAATTCTATTAAGACATGTAAGGATGTCTCAGGCGATTTGGCCAAGTCTGTTAAGAAATGAGGATGTCTCAGGCGATTTGGCAAATGCTGATAAGAATTGCGAGGATGTCTCAGGCGATGTGGCCAATTCTAATAAGAAATGTAAGGAGGTCTCAGGCGATTTGGCCAAGTCTGTTAAGAATTGTGAGGATGTCTCAGGCGATTTGGCAAATGCTGATAAGAATTGCGAGGATGTCTCAGGCAATTTGGCAAGTTCTATTTGGAAATGTGAGGACGTCTCAAGCGATTTGGCCAATCCTATCTGAAAACTGAACGCTTGAGCTCTGAAAGGGCGGCAGGCACAGGCAGGAACTCTCCTGAGCACTGAAAGAGTGCCCTAATATTGTCAGGACTGTGAAAAGGCGAGCTGGGGGGGAAGGAGGGAGATGGGGAAGGAGGAGGAGAAGGATTAAGCAATGTGAGGATGTCTCAAGCGATGTGGCAAATTCTGCTAAGAAATGTGAGGATGTCTCAGGCGATTTAATTTACTCTGCTAAGAAATGTAAGGATGTCTCAGGCGATTTGGCCAATTCTAATAAGAAATGTGAGGATGCCTCAAGCGATTTGGCCAATTCTATTTAGAAATATGGAGATGTCTCAAGCAATTTGGCCAATTGTATTAAGAAATGTGAGGATGTCTGAGGCGATTTAGCAAATTCTATTAAGACATGTGAGGACGTCTCAGGCGATTTGGCCAATTCTATTAAGAAATGTGAGGGTGTCCCAAGCAATTTGGGAAGTTCTATTTGGAAATGCGACGACGTCTCAAGCGATTTGGCCAATTCTATGTTGATGTCGCAGGCGATGTGGGCAATTGTATTAAGATATGTGAGGATTTCTCAAGCGATTTGGCCAATTTTCGTAAGACATGTGAGGATGTCTCAAGCTATTTGGCCAATTCTCGTACGAAATGTGAGGATGTCTCAGGCGATTTGGCCAATTCTGTTAAGAAATATGAGGATGTCTCAGGCGATTTGGCCGAGTCTATTAAGAAATGTGAGGATGTCTCAGGCGATTTGGCCAATTCTATTAAGAAATGCGAGGATGTCTCAGGCGATGTGCTTCCTCCTCCTCCTCCTCCTAGCCGCAGGTGCCGGAGTTAACGCTTCCAGGTGCGGGGGGGATATCGTTTCGCCGGAGGGGGGGGGGGTTCTTAATTGCTTCATGAGGTTAGGGCACCTCCCCAGAAGACACAGGTAGGTAAGGATGCAAGCTTTTCTGGCGGGTCGCCTGGACCAAGGGCGCGGCCGGCCTGCTCCCCGGAAGCCGAGAGGGAAAGAGCCGAAACCCCAACCGCCCTCTCCGGCATGGGATCCGAGGAGGCGCGAGCATTCCCGCCCCCGCGCCAGACCGAAGAGGACCGAGAAGGAGGACTCCGAGGAAACCGATTCGATGCCCCTTGCAAAGATGACCCGAGCCCTCCCTCCACCACTAACTTGTAGGGGCGCCCTCCGGGGGAGGGCGTGGGTTAGCCGCGCCTACTGGCTCAATTCTTACAGAAAGCATACACCATATTTACACTAGGAGCCGATTTGGCACGTTCCCCCTGCCGCGGCCGCTCTGCGAGTCCACCTGGGAGGAGGACGATAAGGAAGAAAAGACAGAGACAACACACCCAACAATGAAGTTGCATAACATCGTGTAGTCCTATGCTCGGGCAGCAGCCGACAGCATTCCATGGGGAGGGCGTCGGACATGTCGGCATGGTTAGGGCTCAGCGACTGTCCGCTCACGAATCCATTTATGCAAGCGCCGTTAAGAAGATTGGCCCTGAGGTTGGCGAAGTTGGTTCTGGGAGGCGTCGGCCATCCGCGTTCCCATGACGTTCTGTATGGTGCAGGGGCAGCAGTACTCTTGAGCAATGTCGCCGATCACCTCGTCAACGTCACGATGGATGCGCAGACGTCCTGGTAATAATCCACCTAGCGATGCTGCAACACACCCTGCCCGTGACAATGTTGTCATGAGTTGCGACGCCGGCGCGCCTGCTTCTCGGCGTTCCGCTGCAGCGTGGGTCCTGGGAACGCATGTGCAGACCCTCTGTTGGCGCGCAAAGGCATTTAGATGTTGACCTTGAGGTGTTCTTTCACGGCTGGGCGTATTTTGAGCGGAACGTTGGGCAAGAGGCTACGCCGTGCGACATTCAGATAATTACCCCAGTTGGGATTCGGGCTGGGCCGAGAGAGAGAGAGAGAGACAGGAGGAGGAGGTGGAGGAAGAGGAGGAGGATGAGGAGGGATGATGAGGGAGGGGCTTGAGAGAGGTTGGAGGAAGGAGGGCGGGGGACGACGGGCGGCGCGCACGGTGAGGGCGTCCACGGTGACGATGGGGACGACCACGACGGCGGCGGTGACGAGGGCGACGACCCGAAGAACGCCCGCGGCGAAGGCAGCGGAACGCGGGGGACTTCGTGCGCGACAGCTGGCGGCGCCCGGGCGTCCCCGAGGACTGGGCGCCGCTTGGCTGGCGGATGGGCGGGCGCCGTCGTCGTGGCCGCCGTCTTGGCTGGCCATTGTCTCGCGAGGCGCGGGGCTGCGCGCGTGGGGGAGGTTGGGGAAGAGGAGGGCAGGATGGGAGAGTCAAAGTGGAAGGGGGGGAGCAGCAAGCAGCAACTGCCCGCAGCCGCGCCCGCACCGTGCCGTGCGAGCGTGACTGCCCGACGGAAAAAAAATGCGTTCGGCGCAGGCGCGCGCGGGCTCCGTACGCTCCCGCCTGCCCGACGGCCCCGTCTGGATGCCGTGTCTCGTCCGTGTCTGACCCTGCGCATGCATGGGGCATCGATGTCCACACTGCTGTGTCCGGGGATGGCGGATCAGGATCAGGATCAGGCGTTGAGGCGTCGCCCTCGAGTGTTCGGCGGCCGTGAGACCCCTGTGTGGACTGGGTGCAGGAGCCCGTGAGATCAGTTCGCGCACCTTCCGCATGAGTTGCTGGCCTCTCGGAGACGATCAGCTGCCGCGTCAGCGGGGTCGGTCCAAGTGGGATGGGTGGGTCGAGGAGGAGGAGGCTCCCCTCCCTCCACCTCCTCATCCACCTCCTCCTCCTCCTCCTCCTGCGCCGAGTGCCAGCCGCGGCCATGGCGGACCCGCTGGCCCTTAGGGGGCTGCCCTGAGCTTTGGTCCCCTGCCAGAGGGCCTCCTGTACAGCAAACGTTGTGCAGGGCGGGCTTAGCCCGCGCCTGCTCGTCGTCGCGACAACCCACGCTGCTGCTGAGTTGCCGTGCTGTTGCCTTTTGCTGCAACGCCATCGACAGCTCTGCACCCCAGCGTCGGCGAAGCTCGCTGGCGACCGCCTCGGCCTTGTCCTCCCCCGGCAGCTGCGCCTGGTCGCGCGCCTGCTGGCGGAGGTGGCGCAAGGCGGCCTCGCCGTGCCGCCCGTCCGACGCTGGGGCCAAAAGGGGCACTGCCCAAGGACAGCGGCCCTCGGGGTGCCGCTGCCTCTTGTCAACCTCTGCCGCTGCTGCCGCCGTGCCACCGCGGCCGCCGGCCACGACCAGGCCAGCTTCATCTGCCGGCACTTCGTACCAGACGGTCACATCTATGAACAGACGCGGATAGCCGGCACGCCGCGCCCTGTTTCGAGGATGGCTTCTTCTCTGCGGGAGACGACGGCCTGGCCGCAGCCGCTGCAAGCGCCAGGTTGCTGGTGACCCAGCGCTACGCCCACCTGTCCCAGCTGGGGAAGTGGACCTGTCTGTCCGCGTGATAGCCGCATTCGTTGTGAATGCCCCACGGAGTACTCTACGCCGCCGCCGCGGCCGCCGCAGGATAGCCGATCAGCGTCTTGCGCGTTGCAGCAAAGTAGCTCCCCGCGCGCCCAGGCTGAATGTGTCTGCTCGTACGGGTGTGGTTCGCTCAGAGAGTGTCGAGCGAAGACAGGTCTTGGCCTACAGTGGAGACCCAGACCAAGAAACTCCTTGCTTGCCTCCAAGGTGCCCTGGGTTTCTTGGGTTTCGACGGTTCTGCTATGGAAATCGTGACGTTCCAACACCACAAATCGATGGACGTCCTGGGGTCTCAGGGTTGGGTTTCTTGTGGAAGGCTTCTTGTGGTCGGGCCCCTACTGTAACGCGTGCGGGCTGTCCTGCAGAAGTCGTTGTCGCTCAGCTGCTGCCCCGCGGCCCCCGGCGCGGCCAGCCGCCTCGCGGCGGCGTGCGGTCCACCGCAGGAGCCCAGCCTCGCGCTTCCCTTGCGCGGGCGCAGACGCTCCGCAAGGCTGAACTCAGAGGAGGAAAAGGTACCCCTGCCGCTACACTTCTGCCGTTTCCCCTTTTTTCGGCCTCCTGGGAGGCCCTCGTCGCCACCGCTGGATTCGCTTTGAAATCCTGGTCAGAACGCACCCTGGGAGAGGTCCGGGGAGTAGCGGTATGGGTACCTTTCGGTTTCCCCGTGCAAAGGCTTGTTGGGGTCAAGCCTTCGCGAGCGCGGTTTGTTTGTTCATTTTGACGTGAGGGTGGCCCAGGCGGGAAGGGTCGGCGGTCATCCCAACATACCACTGCCAATATTGTGTGTGCGTTGCCCCCCCCCAGGGGCGACGCGCGCGCCGAGAAGTCGTCCAGTGCATGCCTCGTTGCGGGCGCTTCTGGCCGTACCGCTCGGGAAACGATGTACTGCAAGCTGGTTGTATTATATGTTTGCTTCGGATGTGCGCCTCCGAGGAGGACACCTGGTTCTAGTATGTCCCTCTGCGTCCCAAAGGGGGGGGAAGCGTCCTCTCCCGCCCCTCCGCTGAGCGGCGAGGCGCCCAGCTGCGGCTGCGGCCCCAGCAGGAGGCGGGCGGCCTGGCAAGCCGCGGCCTTGGGCTGGTCGGCCTGCTCCTCGTCATCGTTCTGGCGTCGCCAGTGCTCAGTACGGTGCCGTTTTCAACACCTGCTCCGCGTGCGGATCCTGTATTAGAAATGCAGGGATTTCGTATTCCGAGCCACGATGAGTTCATGCCTAAATTTATTCATAAGCTAGTCATGTATTAATCAGGAGGAAAAGAAACACACAGACACAATTAATCCTCGATCCCCCAGAAAATATGGGAAAATATGGGAAGTGGTGGGGAAGACAAAAAAACAGAAAATATAGGAAAATATGGAGAATATTTATAATTGTGTGTATTTATTTGTGTGTCCCAGGGCCCCTTCAATTAAGACATCCTACACCTTTAAACATCCCATGTATCAAAGACTGCCCTGCACGGGGGCGAGGTCCGAGGGCAGGTGCTGCCCCCCATGGTGACAACGGCTCCCCTGTCGGCGTCGCCGCGGGCGCTGCCCGTGGGAGCAGCCGCGCCGCCTGTCCCCCGGCGGCCTCTGCGGGCAGTGGACGGCCTCTGCTGCCGGGATCGGGCCGGGCGAAAGGGGGGGATTGGGAAAGGGGGGGTTACGAAATTTGCTGCATGCAGCTGGTTTCGGCCTCACCGAGGGGCCCATTCCTCGATACATAGCCGCCTCCGGCGCCGGGAGGCGCCGGGAAAATCAGCTACGTGAGCTGATTCTCAAACCCCCCCTTTGCTATCCCCCCCTTTCGCCCGACCCGATGGGAACCGTGCGGTTTTTTTTTCCACACCAGTGGTTATTAGGTTTTTGTAAGTTGTCGGATTGCGCGGATGTCGTGGCCTGCTCGGCGATGCCCGAATACCTCACGGGAGCCCCCGTCGCGTTGTTCTTTGCTCGTGGTGCCCTGCTTGTCCGCCTTCGGCCTCGTCCTCCGCCTCCCCCCTGTCGCACGGAGCTGAAGTTTTCGGTGGTTGTGCGTTGGGTTTGCGATTTTAGCGACGGGTTATTTTCCCTTGTCGCGTGATGCAACGTCATCGATGCCGTTTTTGGAGCGCGGTGCGTTCGGGGCACAGTGCGCCTCAGTTGTCGTGTCTTGGTTGTTGTTGGTTCGGCATCGGCACTTTGCATGGTGGCCCTGGGCGCCCGCAGGGGGGCCGATGCGTTTCGCAACTGCGCTTGCGGGTTTTCGCGTTGCTTGCAAATGTCCGGCGCTGTGCGGCGGTATATTGTGCAACCCGGCGCCTTGCGAATTTCCGCTGTTGTTGGTTGTGCCCCAGGGGCCTCGTAGTGATTCGTGGCGGTAGTATTTGCAGCACTCTTTTGAATGTTGAGATCAATCGTTGGCCATGTTGATCCTTGCGCGCTTTTGTTTTGCCCGTTTTGGGGTGGTTTCGGCGGTTTGTGTTGCCGATGTGTCTTGCGCCGCCCGGGGGTCGTGACGTTCCAGAATAACGCAGTCCGCCGAAAAAAGCTGCAGAGTTTTGCCACAATTCCCCAGAAGCGTCTGCCAGATGTCTCCAACAAAACATCACAACACAACACAACAACGTAATATTTTACCAGACGCGTCTACAGTTCCGAAGAGAGCAGAACCCGCAACGTTCTAGGAGGGGGTCGGGACCTTTGGGGAAGAGGGGGAGGGTGGAGGAGAGTGGCGCTGCAGCCGCTGCCGTTTCATCCGTCGCCGACCGACCCCTTCGGGCTGCCCTGGAAGATAGGCGGCCAACTCATCGCACCAAGGAGAGTCTGCTTCGGTATTCTCGGGGCAGGGTTGGGCAACGCCCTCCCTGCCCACGGAGGCTTCGGTGCCTTTTTGACGGGTTGAGGGGAGGGGGGCCGTCGCCGCCGAGGGCCACCCGAAGCCGCCGATGGAAGGCCGGCGGGCTGCCGCCGAAGGGTCAGGAGGAGAAAAAACACAGACACAATTAATCGTCGACTCCCCCGAAAATATATATGGGAAGTGGGGGGGAAGACAAAAACCCAGAAAATATTTGAAAATATGGGGAATCCTTTTATTTGTGTGTATTTATTTGTGCGTCCCAGGGCCCCTTCAAAGGGGCCCTGCGCGCGCCCCCGCGCGCCAGTGGAGGACGGCGCTGGCCTGTGCCCGAGGACGGGGCAACGCCGCGGGGGGCCGCTGGTCGCTGTCGCCATCGTGGTCGCCGCCGTCGCCGTCCTCTCCGCCGTCCTTCACAGCGGCGGCAGGTTCTTGTGGGCAATTTCTGGCCTCCGAGGGCCCTCCTCCTCCTCCTCCTCCTCCTCCTCCTCCTCCTCCTCCTCCTCCTCCTGGTGATGAAAGAACGCGACGGCGGAGGTCTGGGGCCGTCGCCGTCCTCGCCGCCGCCGCCCGGTCGGAGCGGGGGGCAGAGGTGCAGTCACGACGCTGACGCAGGGGCCGCTTCGGGCTCAGGAGCGGGCGTCTTCGGGTCGTGCCTCCGATGTGGGCCAGGGGCCCTCTTCATGGCCAGGGCTCATCATGGCCAGAGAAGCCAGTTCTCACCGGTAGCACGAGGACTGAGCCGACACCGCTGCCCTTCTCTCGTCGTCTCGGCTCGATCCGCTGCAAATTCTTTGTTAGAGTGCACTTCCGAAGATGTCCAGCGAGGAGCGGTATTGATCCCTCACCGACGGCGTTGTCGTGGAAGTCGTGGTGAATGCCGTCGTGGTGGTGATGGTCGTCGTCGTGGTTCCGGTCGGGCGACAG